ACAGACGGCTAGGCGAACAGACGAAGTCACGAACACACGAAGTCACGAAGGAGGAAGGACGAAGGCTCAAGGGCGGCTGTTGAACCTCGTCACTGCTGCGAAGTGCGAACTGCCGGCGAACGGACGAAGACTGCCGGCGAACGGACGAAGGCGAGGGCGAATCGAAGAGAGAGAAATTGAAAATTGAAAAACTTAGGGTTTGGCTTTGGCTGGCTGGAAAATGTCGCAACGCAACAGGATTGTAAATCTGTAATTGCATTTTTTTTTTTTTTTTTTTTTTTTAAATTTTTTTTTTTTTAATTTTTTTTTTTTGAAAATGGGGGGACAAGTGTCCCCACTCGTCCCCTTCTAGCTCCGCCCCTGGTTGAGGCACAAAGAAACCACACAGTCGAGCTTGGTTGAGGCAAGAAGCAGGTCATCATCCGGGCTTAATGAGCCAATGACATAGCCGGTTTTAATGAAGAACAAAGCAGCCGTTGAACAAAGCAGCCGTTTGACAATTGTGTCACTGAGTCTGTAGCTTTGTTTGGCTTAGTTGCCGTTTGACCAAGCTCATAATATATATATAATTTTTTTTTTTTAACATCATAATAATGATGAATATAGTAGCATTGCAGCCATGGCAGCCGTTTAATTGAGGCACCGTTCATGGCTCTTACCGGCTGACACTGTTGGAGCAACGCTACCCCATGCCGCCTGAGTACACTAATGTAAAAGATGATGCTCAGCCGGCACAAAGTCCGTCCGTGTATGCTAACACAAGAAAAAACTTGGCCACTTGTGTATGTTAACACAAGAAATCAGCTAGGCTGTCTAGGTAGCTCAACGGCTGGTCCTAGAAGCTATATGTCATCCATACACTTGATATCTTGATGCTCAACCCGATTGCCGACTTGCGTATGAATCGATAGCATGTAGCATTGGGTGTATTGAGCAATGTTGAATGAATGTGCCGCATGACACTCATAGGCGGCTTTGAATGATATACAACCGTGGAGCTTACTTTCAATGTGGTGAATATACAAGCTGCTCATGAAAGTATGTATTAAAACTTGCCGCCTCTGCTATTTTAATGCATGATGACTAGTATAGCTTATGAAGCTTAATGAATCAAACTTGCTAGCTGTCAAAAACTTGGGAGTATGGAAATGCATGAGTATATTTGCCGCATGCTGTACCCCACTAATAACAAGAGTTTACTCTTGAATAATATTACGTGTGTAGTAATACAATTTGTGTGATGTTGATAGTATCAGACTATCAATCACCGATAGCATGTCACCACCTGACTGAGCATAAATGCCGGCTGTATGATCCGGCTGGGTGGCCTGAGCATGCGGCCGGCTCATTAAATGAGTCGGATTAAAATAGTGGAGCTGGCCAATTTAGCCGTCCCTCCCCTAATAAAATTTAGATTAAACGGCATTGCCCTTTAACCTTCAAATATGCATGACTTAGTCTGACAGGCCTTTTTGGCCGCCTGACTCTCAACATTCAGCCTCATGACACATGTTGTACTTGACATCCGGCCTCATGACGCCTGCTGCCTCCCAAAGGAGGCTCCCCCTATTGAGTCGGTGATCCACCGTTGTGCCATTACAGATGTGCCTCCCCACAGACGGCGCCAAATTTTTTGGGGTTTTTTGTACGTACCCGAATGGAGGGTGTGTACGTCCCTCGGGAGACAGATCTGCAATGCAACACTCGAACGGCCCGATCACTTGCAAAACAACGGACCCCGGGGGGGCCGGAGGTCCGCCTCCGACGATCAAGTCAGTGATCAATATAATGTATTTTAGAGAGAGAAAGTAGAGAGAAGTGAGAGTAAATGTGGGGGGCATTGCCCCTTGGAGCGAGAATTGGCTCTCTTGAAACTGATGTAATGATCAGTATTTATAGAGCATTGGGATATGTGCCTTTTAGGTCATTTAACCTAAAAGGCTCTAGGTTTATGGGCTTGGAGCCCATTATCACTCTTCTATCATTGAGTGACACGTGTCATGCTCTAATTGGCTCATAGAGAGCTGAGCTTGCGGACACGTGTCGTGGTGGCATTGGTCCACATATAGAGGGTAATTTTACCCCAAACAAAAGGTTGTTGTGCATATTAATCAACTAATGTTACTAGAAAAAAATCTATCTTGACTGTTCTATTGATAGGCTTGTAAACTCCTGCTTGATACTTTTTAAGGAATTCGACAAATAAATATAATATTGTTACTTTGATATTTCTTTACGTTACTATATTGCGAATTACTTATTCTCAAAATCAGAAACAAATTTCGAAATATAAAAAGCAAACAAATTTTTTTAAGAAATACTTGTAAAGGAAGTGAAAAGTATTATGCACTAGTGAGTAGTGAGTATTCATAAAATGTTCAAGCGATAAATAAAGCAACCATAACACAATTTGAAATATATGGTATGTTGATTTTGAATCAAATTACTATGGTACATTCTAATGTATGGAACGGACATTTTACCATTAATTTATGTTTACAAATCAGCGAAGGTAATTTATCAGGACTAATTATTGTGAAAAAAAAAATAATAAAGAGTTTATTGGCCTACGGAAAAAAACAATCAACATTTTAAAATTATCAAGACTAGTTTCCTAGATAATACTAAATAAAATCTTGTTGTGCATATCAATCATCTAATATTACTAATGTATTATCTATTTTGACTGTTCTATTGATAGGCTGTTAAACTACTGCTTGATACTGAACATAAACTTTTTAAGATACATAATTTGTTGTTACTTTGAAATTTCGTTACATTACTAATTGCGAGTTACTTATTCTTAAAATCAGAAACAAATTCAAAATATAAAAATTAAAAAAAAAATTTAAAAAAATACTTGTAAAGGAAGTGGAAAGTATTATGCACTAGTGACCATTCATAATATATTCAAGCGTTAAATAAAGCAACCATAACACATATTGATGAAGATAACAATAATGAATTAACGAAACCACCAGATTTAGCAAATACCATAAAACATAATCTTACTTCAACAAACCCAGTATAATGTGATATGAAAACACATTGAATTATGCATAAACTTAACATAAAATTCTAAATATTTCCCCAAATAAGAACTAGAAATTTTCAACCACCCATAGATTAGTTCCCGTCCTCCTCATTTCTGTAATGCATCCCTTCCACCTAAGTAAAAAAACCTAGCTGACCATGATTGGTAACGTTCAGAATTGATTCTTCCACCATGTGTGCGAACGAAGTAATCTATTGCTCGTTTGTAAGTCCTACTCCTCCAATATGCCGTCTACCCGCACGTGTTGCATCGCCTAACATCTTCAATGGTTGAATGGCTTGTTTGACAACTGAATACAGGTTTGCAACAAAATGCTTGAAGTTGTCCCCACTCAATGTCAACGTTCAAGTTGATCCTAGCCCCTGCCTTTTGAGCCCAATGTTTGTTGAGACACTGCATCTTGACGATGTCAAAAATACCATTGATCTTTGGGAATACATGTTCCTCAAAAATGGTTTCCCACGTACCAAAAGCATCATGGTCTGGGTAAAAGGCTATTTCGTTTTGAGGTGGCTCCATGAGGTACTACAAACTAGATAGGTGGAAGGGTTTGAAAAATGAAAATGGCTTAGTGTAGTGTTCATGAGAAGCCGGAAACTTCCTTTTTATAGCCAACAAATGCCTTATAACATTAATTACAAATATCCAACTTTTATTTTTAAATACTTTTTTACACATTTTAGTTACCAAGTAAATCGTTATTACATAATTGTGTTTGGTTTATAATTTAATTGGTTCCTTTCTAATTAATTATATTTTTGGACAAGGTTGTGTGATTCATCGATGAATAATTTATACGGAGTACATGTTACTTGTATACAAAACTCCAAACAATTTTTTTTTTCAAATAACACAAGAAAGTAACAATTTATTCATTAACAATGACTAAATAAATCCACAAAGTTACTGATATACATATTTGTCTCAAATTTTTTTAAAATAATAAAATACATACATACCTATACGTCTATACATACAGCACAAATGTGTTTTGATGTAAAAAAAAAATTAAAAAAATGACGTTATGCACTTATGCTGATCTATCACATCACAAAGGTCAAAGTATGCAGACCACTTTGGAAATTGACAAGTTAATCAAACATTCAAACCACGCAATTACTAGTTTATTGATATTGTTTTTTTTTTTTTTAAAAACAAGTTTTTAAATGAATTTTTGTTTCAATACAATGCTGCTTAAATACTAAATTAATAAATTATTCTACAATACTGCTTGCTACAGACCTGAAAATTTATAAACCACATTTGATTAAAATTCAAAATCAATTTTTCCATTACTATTCATTCAGCTGCCATAGTGCATTCCCAAATTACTTACTCTCGAATTCAACAAACAAATTCATTCCGTATATTTTATTTCTATTCATCTATCTTGCATCTGTATTGAAACAATTTTGGAAAATTCTCAATGGTAACACTAAACTTTGTAATTTTCTCAGTGGTAAATTGCAAAAATTCTTATTATCCTTGGTAAACTTTAATTTATTATAATTTTCAATGGTGAACTTAATGAAGCAATTTAGTTAATATTAAACCATGGTTAACATTTTTTTAGTTAAAATCATTAACCACAGTTAGTTTTATTATTTTTTAAATAATTAACTTAAATTTAAAAATTTAAAAATAAAAAACACCCACCCTCCCCACCGAACCAGCAACCCAGCTTTGCCGGCGCCGGCGTCGCCGCCACCGGACCCCTCCCCTTTTCTGGCGCCAGCGACCATCTGTTCCCCTCCCCTTTCGATTTCCACCTCTCTTCCCTTGAAACCATCTGGAACCTCACCTCCCCCACCCCCGAAACCACCTGGAAACCTGCCCCACCCCCGAAAATTATTTATTAAAAAAGTCATCATTAATGTCATTAATAATAATTATAAATAGTTTAGGTTTAACAAAGATAATAAATTCTTTTGCAATTCACCACTGAGAAAACTAAAAATTATGGTGTTACTTTTGAGAATTTCCCAACAATTTTCCCTATTCTAATCTCCATATTAAAATGGCCATGATAACATTTTGGTTTGGGGAAAATTTGGAGACAGATCCCATTAGAATATACGTTGACGAAACTTCGTATACATTTACTTTCGAAAATGAAGAATTCAGTGTGGATAATTTTAAATCCAAGATTCATGAATTAAAGTACGCGAGGTATAAGTTAAGGTATGTTTGTTCAATTGATGATTTGCAAAATCATTTCTATGAAGTCGACAAAATGAGGGATTTCAAGCAACTTAAAAAAATGGCCCTCTCAGTGGGATATGTCAACATTTTTATTGAGGATAAATCCAAGAAATTACAACCACCTGAAGAAACTACAGGAACCCCAAATAGTTTACCTGTAGGGAAAAACGGTAGTTTCCGACGGAAACACGTGACAATGGGTCCAAGACGGCGGCTCAAGAACAAACGACCTAGGAACTCTTTAGCGGAGGAAGAAGAAGATTTGGTAAGTGAATTTTTTGAATAATCAATTTTCGTATACAATGAGACTGTCCTTATTAATTTGGTTTTTTTTTTTCTTTTCTAAGTAAAATGTCCTTATTAATTTGTTATGTATATAAATTTATTTTATAATTTAAATAATTGATTTTGGTTATGTTGGAAATGTCGTTGAATTATGTGTGTTTAATACTTAATATTTATCATCTCTTTTTTGATATTGCCTATTAATGTGTTTGGCATTAAGCTGTTTAAAAAAAGTAAAATTGAACAATGTGTTATGATTTCACCTACTATATTAATGTTTTAACTATTCATGTTACCAATTAAATAACTTATTTATTTATAATTGAAGCAAAAGTATGCTCTTCAATTGATGGTAAAGAACTAAAGACTTATGTTAATAATATGATTCAAATTGCGTAAATATTGTTCAAATATGTTATCAAGTAATGTTCTATCTTCTCATTTGAACAATGTGTTATGAATTAACATACTACTACTATATTAATGATTTTAGCATTCGTGTTACCAATTAAATAACTCTATGTATTTATAATTGAAACAATGTATGCTCTCCAATTGATGGTAAACACTAACGTTGATAATATGATTCAAATTGCTACAATATTATTCAATATGTTACCAAGTAATGTTCTATCTACTCATTTGAACAATGTGTTATAAATTAACATACTACTGATATATTAATGATTTTAGCATTCGTGTTACCAATTAAATAACTCTATGTATTTATAATTGAAACAATGTATGCTCTCCAATTGATGGTAAACACTAACGTTGATAATATGATTCAAATTGTTTAAATGTTACCAAGTAATGTTCTATCTACTCATTTAAAATAATGATGTCATTGTTGTTTATTTTCGTCACATTGGTTGTTACAGCCCAATGGTGATATACCTGAAGAATGTACAAACGAAACAACAAAGGTTCCTCCTCCTGTTAGAAACATAGTAAGTTACTAGACTAATATATGTAGTATACATTTTTTATAATTTGAAAAATTAGGTTTAATGTATGTTAGCATTATTTGACTTTTGAGGTATGGTGAACAGTGTCAAACCCTTAGTTGTGATGTTGCAAGATTCGCGACAGGAAAACTATCGAAAAATAAAAAACAGTGGGTCAAAGATATGGGGTTCAAAAACATGCTTAAGCTAAACATAACCCATATTGGCCCGTTGTTTGCTGCCTGGGTTATGTCTTTGTTTAATGCGGAAAATAGAACTCTTCACATTAGGAACAACTTAGCGGTCTTAATAGACGATGAAATGGTGGGATGGGTATTAGGAATTCCTGCTGGTCAAAATTTTTTCCACTCTGAAGAGGCAAACGCGAAACAATTCAAGGAGTGGAAGATGAAATACAAGCATGAAACTACTTATGGTGCATTATCAGAGTCTATAGTATACAACATGTTTCTGTCAGAGAAAAGCAATAAATTATGGTTTCAAAGACATTTCTTGTTGTACACGTTAGGTGTTCTTCTTTGTCCAACATAGAAGCATGGATGGATTAGTCCCTTACACATTTATTTGTAGGGAAATGCCACTAAGGCATACAAATATAACTGGGGAAAGTATGTTCTAGACTGGCTTGTGAAATATAGGGAAAAATACAACAACGCAAAAGAGGGCATAGGTGGATGTACGTTACTCCTCCTGGTAATTTATACTATTATTTACATCATTAATTCCTTTTTATAGTCATTATGAAGTACAGATATTTGTATTTCGTTTGTCCTTATTATATTTTTCCCAAATGTAGGTGATATACATCGATCGAATTGCTCATAGAAGGAATATTCAGTGTACCTCAACATCATGCAGAATACGTTTTTGGGACCAACCTAGCGTTGATAATGCTATGAATGTTGACATGGGAACTAATGGGAGCTATGGTGTGGCATAGGTAACAAATTGTAAGTTAACTGCAAAGTAATTCTAACGATACGACACCTATTTCTTCTTTTCTAAAATTTGATTGTTCTTAATTGCAGGTAATTGAAAATGTGGTTTATGGGGAAGCGCACCCTAAAGGAACATAATTTATACTAAATGTGATGAATTTATATTAAGTAACTATTGAGTTATAATCAAGTAATGTAGAACAATTTACATAATTGTAAACCAGTTTCTGTAATTTGTAGTAACACATTTGAACAACCTAGTATTTTATTTTTTCTTTCTGGGGTATTGAGGAACATCTTCGTGATTTTTTTAATTTATACATTTATATCGTATTAGGTTCGAATATGTTACTAATAATAATTATATAAAGTCTTATTTGCAGTTTTTGTTACTAAATAGTTATTCATTCATGTAGATTTTTTATCATGTTTATTTCAACTATGGATGAGGTTTGTTAAGCTCATTTGCAATGGATGGGCATGGTGCCTTGGCCCACGCTGTATAGTATGATACTAAAAAATTATATAAAAACATTGTAGAATTGAACTCTTATTATTATAATTTATAGAAAATTTTAATATTTAGATGTTTTAAAAAAAAAACAAAAAAAAACAAATTATGTTACCAAAAAAAAAACATAGGGGGTTAAAATATTTTAAAAAAGGCAATAACGGGGAGAATATTAATCATGGCACCATATTTAATGGGGGGGGGGGGCGTCAAACTAATTTGTTGAATTATTTCTCTTTAAAAACTTCTACTATCAAGTTAACTGTCCACAATGGATACACAGGACGAATTCTGCTACCCAGATCATAATGCATTTGGGAAATGGGATGAGCTTTTTGAAGATGTAATTTATCCAAAGATTAATGGAATTGTCGACTTATTAAAGATGCAACTCTTAAACAAGTCCTGGAAAGAGAAGGTTGGAGTCAGAATCAACAAGAATGTAGACGTTGATTAGAGCTAACTAGAGAAATGTTGTTGCAAACCATTATTCACCTTCCCTACAAGATACTCTACAATTAGGGAGCTGCCACATTGCAAGGAATGCGGTTGGACAGCCAACTGGAGGATGAAGGTTTACAAACAAGGTGTTAATTACCTTGTAAACACTCACGGGGGCATGAAAAAACGTCCTAAATACAACTCGTGGCCCGGGAAGAGCTACATGTCGGTTGGCAAACATTACTAAACATTGTTAACCTTATAATGTGGTTTAACTTGCATTGTTCTTATATGTGTCAGTTTTAATTTTTCTTAATTACTAATTTAAATTCTTGTGTACTTGGTACTCCATTGAATATCAATTTTATTACAATTGAAATATATATATATATATATATATATATATATATATATATATATATATTGAGGGCACAATTGAAATATCTTCGTTTTATGTTGCTTCATATTGTTTAATTCACAATTGAAATATCGTTATTTTTTTAACCTGGACAAAATAAATGCAATATCTTAATTCATCATGAGTGTTTAGAATTGTTGTTTAATTCATCATGGATAAGAATATATTGTTTAATGCACATACGAGCTAGTTCATCGTGATTTAACATATCAAAAACAAAATAAAACAATATCCAAACGTCATAATTTGAAACAAACGACCAGTGTAACTTATTTATTTCGTATATTTTAGTAACAAAATTGGCAATATATGCTTGTATATTCATTTATTTTTATACATAAATATTTTTCGTTATTAAAATTAGTAATAATAGGATTAATTCACAAAAAAGATAGCATTATTTTTTAGTTAATCAAAATAAATTAATTAACTTTCCCATTAACCCATATAAAGAAAAGATTACAGATACCTTTATTAGTTTATTAGGGTCCCAATGCATTAAAGGTATTACATCCAACCACTAATTAATAGTGGTTTAATATCAGATTATATTGGCGGGAAAAATATAACAGCGTATGGATAACAAATCAATTACGTTTTTTCACCAAATGCCCTTGAACTTTTCAAAATTCACCAAATGCCTGTGACGTTTTTTAATATTCACACTGTGACCTCTGGCGTTAAAGTTCTGTTAGCAATAAAATTTAATTCACCAAATGCCCTATCTTTGTTAAATAATTACACAAAATACCCTTATTTTTGGAAGTACAATGTCTAGTTTGAAATTTAAGGAGACTAGCCGTTAGTTTTGATTTTCACCCTTTTTTGCATAAATACTCGATACATATCATCTCTCTTATTTGCTTAACCACAAATTTTTAACACCATGAGTTATCAATCTAAATAATCCTCCTCAATGTATGAGTACTTTTGTGTAAGAGTTGCAAACATTCTCTATTCATAAAAAGAAGTGTCGAAGACCTCGCAAGCAGAGAAAAAGAGGGCCAAATGAAATAGAGGTGATTACTTACGGGCTTAGACGGAAAACGGATCGGGCTATAGTTCATATTTTGTCCAACAGACTTAATATAGAAAACTCAAGCCCCTTTTTGTACGGCTTGACAATTAGTCTATACCCACCCTAGTAAACAGTCTAGGCTTGTCGTCCGCGGACTAGCTACCAGACTCAGAAGTTCTTACTGCAAATTTTCTCCTACTACAACAAGATTTGTTTGCAACTCTTATACAAAAGTTCTCATACATTGAGGAGGACGATTTAGATTGATTTCTCAAGGAGTTAAAAATTTGTATTTAAGCAAATAAGAGGATGCTATGTATCGAGTATTTATGCAAATAAAGGGTGAAAATCAAAACTAACGGCTTGTTTCTTTAAATTTCAAACTAGACGTTGTACACTTATACTTCCAAAAATAAGGGTATTTTGTATAATTAATTAACAAAGTTAGGGAATTTGGTGAATTAAATTTTATTGCTAACGCAACTTTAACGTCGGGGGTATTTTGAGGTCACAGTGTGAATATTAACAAACGTCAGTGGCATTTGGGGAATTTTGAAAAACTTGAGGGTATTTGGTGAATTTTTGAAAAGTTCAAGGGCATTTGGTACATTGGTTACTAAACTATAGTGAACGTTACTATATGTAGTTTACGGTTGTGTTAAAAATCTTATAATTAAACAAGTGTTCGTAGTAGTAATTTCATCTTATAGAGGGAAAGTGTAAGAAGTATTACACATTAGGTTAATTAATTTACCTTATATAAATGTGGCTTAAGATTAAGAAAATTTCATCTACTCAACATATCAATATCTGAATATAAAGTTATTTTTTCTTATATTACAAAATACCTCCTTTAATCATAAATACCTTCTTCAATCATTATGGCGAGGCGAAGCAAGAAATGTGTTGGTAAATTTCTTTATACGTTCATACTTCTTTGTTGTTATATTATATTCTCAATAAGCTATACCAACTCTTAACATTTTGCTTTTTGTAGCTCCACGAATGACCAAGTGGGTGAAGGAAGAAATACAACGCAATTTGGATAAGGAATTCAACCGACTGTTTATGCGGGAGGTTATTTGGCATCTTGGTCCGCTAGAGACTGGTAAGCTCGTGACCAGAGTCGGTCATGCTCCAAATGTTGAGAAGCTATTTGAAGAGGAGAGACAACATTATGCTCTTAACCATTTCTACTATTGTTAAACACCGTCAACACATAATAGCAAAGTAATTCCAACAGTCCCTGAATTGGATGAGTGTATAATCATGACCGAGCCATATGTAAGCGATGATGAGGAGCAAGCTTGTGCCAAAAGATTCAAGAAGATTGAGTTCATCGATCTCGGTAAAGAAGATTAAGAGGCTCCTTTTTAGTCCCAGAAGTAATGTCGTTTTACCACTTTTGCTCGGTTTATGTCTGGATAAATGAATTAACCAGTTACAAATATTTATTAAATAAATAGAAATGTTACTTGGTTCGGATTATATTTTGTCTATTCAATTCTTTACAATCAAGTTCCATTCTATTTCATCCAACTTTGAATACTTTTAAAATTAATTATTATTTCTTTTTCGAAAAAGTTTTTTTTTGTACACATCCTATATGTTTTATGTTGCTTCTATTTTATGAAATCAGTTAAAGGAATTATAGAATTAAAACGGAACTGCTTAATTTCCATTTTAACAACTAAGATTTATTCAGAAGTTACCAACAAATTAATTCACTAAAGAGTTAGTAGTTTATGGCTTACTAATTCAAGCACACTGCTTCTTGTGAAAACAACATATAATTGTTTTTTAACGCCCCTTTATTGTACACCACTGAACATGTAATTATGTACAACATATTTACGAAGAATGAAACATACTCATATAAAATAAGTAAATTTTTTTCCAAAATTGTAAGGACATCTATGACTAGTCTTCATTTTATTAAACATTTTCCATCTTCATTTGCATCAATAACATGTTCTACTATACATGCAAACTATTTTACATAATTCAAATATTAATTTAATCCATAAGATACTAAAAAAAAATTGTCCGAACTTTAATATAATTGAATCGCTTGAAAAACATCACACTTATAACGAACACAGGAATCTAACTTGGGACCTAAATGCATGGAGCTCGTACTAACTATTACCTAATCGAAGTTGAACCAAAGTATTTTTTTTTTGGGACAACAACAGACGTTGTTGTGATTTGCAAACTACAATATATGTAACCAATACTATTTACAACCTCAATGTTACTAAATAATAAACTAACCTTTAATTGTACCGGTACTAAGAAAGTTGAAAATATTATTATTATTATTTCTTTTTTTTTTAAGACAAAGTTGAAAATTATTGCACATAATATATTTTTATTGCATTATGGATTAACATAGTAATGGACTTCAATTTTTTCAAAGATTGAAAAGCATGATGTTTTTATTTAAATTGAAATAGTAGTTTATAGAATTCAAAACCTTTTGGTATACAAACACACTATGATAATTGTCGATTATTGACACGATATTCCCCCAGTAGTCTAGTACATCTTTTTCCCAAGTAAATCCACCTTAATTGTACACCATGAAATACCTGAAGTTCGATTCAACCACCCAGTACCACCGATAATACTAAGCTAGAGGGCTCAGATTAAATAGCGAAAGTTTAAAATCTTTTATAAAATTAACGATTCTTATTTTATAAATTTTGTATACATTACTAATAAATGTCTCTAAACAAAACTTTTTTAAAAATTCGTTACATTTTGCAAGGAGGTGTATCATTTTATTCTTTTAATTGAAGGAGAATCCAAATGGTATCAATTAAGTAATTCATTCAGTATTCGTTAGCATTATTAATATGATTTTCATTATTGCATAATAACACATATTTTTTATAATAACAACTCGTCATCAATAGATTTTCAAAATTGCATAATAACACATATTTTTATATTTAGTGTCTAATTGTTGAAAACTAATTTATAAGTGTTATAGGGGTATACATGTTCGTAGACTAATATTAAGAGTTTAGGAAAAGAGGTAGTTATCATTAATGTGGGTATACATGTTCATAGACTAATATTAATGTGGGTACCTCATACATTTTAAAAGGGAGGGATATCATTACTAATTATTGATCAATTGTTTAACCAAATGCGTA